CTCATACGGTCAGATTGTATTTTTAAAAAGAATGAGCTGAAATATGCAGGCAAGCTAGCTCATTAGAAGTTGATACATAATAAATTAATAAAACGAGATTCAGGAATATATTCATGTTCCTTTAAAATCCTTCATGTTCTTTTTGTAGTCTTTCTGTTTTTTGTCAAAGCAGGAGGGATAATAACAGGAAGGGCTGGACTGAAGCTTGAGATCATTAGTAATATGGTCAGGGGTATCTTTATTTTGAATGAATTTAAATTTCTAGGACCAGATAAAATACATTCTAAATTACTGAAATAGTAACCGATGATCTGGCTGAAATTTTATGGACTGATTATGTTTGAGAAATCCTGAAGAATCAGTGAAATGCCAGATGACTACAAGAGAGCAATTGTTTCTATCTATAAAAAAGGAGGAAAACAATCAGCAATCAGCAAATTAGTCAATCTGACACTAACCCTTCAGGAAATTACAAAGTAGATAATAAAAAGATTTATAAATGCATTGAAAACTATGTGGAATTTACCATAAGTAGCATTCCACACCATCAGGATGAATTTGTTAGGAATAAGTTTTGCCAGATTAGTTTTACCTCATTTGCTGACTGGGTAATTTTTTTTATAGATTGTTGGAAGGCTATGGATTTAATATATCTTGATTTCAGTAGAGCATTTGACAAAATACTTTATGTCGTGTAGGTTAGTGAGCTTGTTAAGTATGAGATAGATGGTGTAGTTACTGCTATCTTTTACCAACTCTTAATTTTTATATTTTCTGTCTCTACTTTCAGAGATTAGATGATTTCTTTTATATTTTCTGTCTCTATTTTCAGAGATTAGATGATCATCTGTCAGAAATGCCGTAGTGAATCCTGCACTGAACAAGAGTTTGGATTGTACCTCTGAGGTACATTTCAGTTCAAATTCTGTGATTTTACCTCAAGAATAGCCCTCTAATGCTCTGGAGAAAACAATTTTTCCATCTCCTGTTGCATAATTACTTCAACCAGAGATGGCTGGGACTGACCTTAGAGCCATCTACCTGCCACTCCACAAATTCAGAATGATAATTATGTGTCTTGGAATGTTCTCAACCAGCGTTCCAGTCTATTCAGACAAATTAGGTCATCTTCAGCAAAATCACCAATGATGGCCTCCTTTAATCCAATTCCTCCCACCTTGTAGTTATATGGTGAAAACATAAACAAGAGACTGTAGCTGACATTCTCCAAGGCTACATACCTTGTGATCCATCAAGCTTAAACAGCTTATCAGAATGCCAAACACTTCTAATTTTTGCTGCCTGATCTATTCCCCCAGGCATCTAATAGAGCCAGCTGAAGAAAGATTTTCAAATTCTCTTTTCATCTGTTATGGTGACTCCAATTTTGCTGGAATAAAAACTCCTAAGTTTCCATCTTACAGAAAGGCAGGGCTCTTAGTTTTTCTTTCTCTGCACTTATTTGTGAGGACATGAAGTTGCTGGGATATGTATGAGGTTTTGCACCTGGATTATTTGCAAGGGCTGCATCTAAAGATTCTTGGATCTCTAGAAACACTACAGTGTTGGTAGGAAAGGAGTAAGGTATACTAAGAGAAGCCACATTGCTGTAGCATTTCCAGCATATCCAGTTTTACATTTTTTTCTATTATAAATGGCAGCTTATTCTCAGTGAGTCTGACTTTCTTTTATCTATAGTGGATTCTCTCTTACTTGTACAGTAACATTATGCACATCCAGTTAGGTAACATTTTTAAAAAGTGAGATAATTTATCTGAGCTGTTTAGATGCTGCCTTAGGTTACTTTGCTAGCTCAATACAGAAGGGAATGAGAGAGCTAATACACCAAATGATCTGTGAATCAGAGTCTGGTAGTTAAGGTTCTAGATTTCTGGAATCTAAATCTTCCTACTTCTAGGAGTGAGATTAGGACTCCTCCAGAAGATCTACAGCACACTATCTCTTCCTCTTAGCTGTGTTGGCTGGGGCAACCAAGGGCCTAAATAAAATCTGGAGGCTTGAAACAGAGGCAACCAAGGCAGGACCAACAATAGAAGCAGCAAGTTTCAGAGTGTTTTCTCCAAACTCAAGTATGGTGAATTACACATGGATTTAGCAGCCAGGAAAGCTCTATCTAAACAGGAAAAGTTATCCCTTCCTTTCTATCATAGTTCAACTTTTGAGAATAACATCATTTCCTCTTGCTTCTGGTTTTCAAAGTGTATTGTTAATAGATGTAGTAAAGCAAACAATGGCTTACCTGGAAGGAAAAATGCATAGCCTCTGCCATGAATAGATAGCTGATCTTTTCTCTGTGAAATAAGTATGCACGACATCACTAGAGCCCTCTGTCCGTTTAAAAAAGTTGAAAATATTTTTATGCATTATTAAGTTAGCCTTAATCAACACAAGTCCAAATATATTCTACTGTTCAGAGTGCTACTGATTCCAAGGTAGCTGAAAGGCAGTTTGGAAGTATGGTGATTTGGGAAATATTTAATCTTTTTTTTCCACTTAAATATTCTGAGCACCAGCCATGCATTGCTATGTTGAAGAGTTCTCTATTCCTGGAGCTGGCAGAAAACTGTACAGGTAATCCCAACCATTATTGGGACTGGAATTTCCATTGCTCAGTGATGCAGCTGTAAACTGTGACATCATGTGACCAAATTGCTTAGTGATGGCAATCCCAGCATTCCTCTTGCTATCTTTAACCGAATCCCATCATTCATTAACCAAGGACCTATCCTAATCCAAGCTGTTCTGGGATTGGTCCCTCTCACCTCCAAACCCTGATTCTTCCAAGGTAAGGTATTGTCTTTCCTTCAATTCATGCCAACTGCTTATTCCTCTCCCAACCCCACCCAGTCTCTGCTCTTTTGGTCATTGTCCTGCACTCTGCCTTATAAGGTAGCAAGTAGCCCCAGAACCATGAAACTCTAGAGATGCTTACCATGCTGCAGCTCAATGGCTACTTGGCATGCCATAGTTCTGGGGCTGCAAAAAGCTCCTGAGCTGCAGCACAGTAAAGCCCTCTGCAGCATGAAGCCCAGCCTCAGCTGGGCACATCAGTGCATCACAAAGCCAAAGCTGCAGCCACCCCAGTCTGGTCCCAGTCCCCTTCACCGCTCTGCACGCAACCACCCAGTTGACCACTGCCATCTTCTTGTCCTTGCTGTTAATGAGGTGTGCCCTGTCTGGCTCTATGCAAGGCAGCTGCTGGCCCTGTGAGGCCATCTTCCCCAATCTCATAAGGAATTCACCATGTGCAACCTGGGAAGAGAGTCTCACATGGCCAGCAGTTGCCTCTCAAAGAACCAGAATGGGCACGCCTTGTCAGCAGTGGGAGCAAGAATACGACCGAGGTCAACAAGGGCAGCAGGACCCATGGAGTGGAGGGGGACAAAAGATCATAGATGGGGGAGAGACAGGCAAGTCAGGGGAACTGAAGTGCCCCTTTGGTTGTAAGGGTGGGCGGGCTACCACACACTCAAATTTTGAACACATGACCCTGGAGGTGCTGTAACTTCAGAAGCCAGGTACAGTTCATTCTGTGCCACTATAACTTTGAACAGGTGTTGAATGAATGATTAGAAGTTGAATACTACTTGTGCAGTACCAACATGCAACTTGCTGTCCCTGTTGATCATCTGTTGCCTGTTGCCTGTTTCAGGTAATTGAGGTAATCTGACTTCTTTTCAAAGTATAAAGTATCCAACTTTATATTCCTTGTGCCTGCTCTTTGAACCAAATTTGAGTAAGGGGAGGTAGGAGGGAATATACAGCTTTGAGACTTGTGCAGCTTAGAATGACTTACGACGTGTCTCACTCATGAGCTGGGTAAATGTTTTAAGGACGTATAGCAGAAAAATGTTGCCAGGGCAACTTTGTGTCTGGGTGCTAGTAAAGAAAGCTCCATTTGAATGTGTTTGGTTCAGTGCAATGTCCTACTGAGATCTTGCATATATTTTACAGTCCTTTCCTATCTGACATTTTTCTGATTATAATTCTGGACTCAAACATTTACAACTGACGATACCACATTAGTATTTGAGTACATCGAATAATTTGCTGCCCTTCATACAGATCCCCAGATGGGTATATTAAAAAATGAGTTCTAGTTTATGAAAGCTTTGGTCACCATACATTTTGGTGCAATCTTTCTATGTTCTTTGACTAATTTGAAGAATGAAAAAAGCATGAAAAAATGGAAATTGCTTATTGAAGTACTCTGAATGGATACAATTATTGGTAAAAAGTATTAAGAGTTGTCAAAAATCCCATAGCGCCATCTAGAGGATAAGGAGCATAAAATCATGTCCCAGTTTCCATATTCAATAAAATTAATATAACTCATTTAAAATACAAAATAGTGCTTTTTTTGTCATAGAACTCACTGGAATGGAGTTCCGGCACCTTTTTTTTTGATGGATTTTCTAAGTTTTAAAAGTAACTTGAAAATTTGATGTTTGGTCCACATGGACTTGAATCGCCCTGTCAAGTGTAGCAGGTCAGCGGCAAAATCATTAAAAAAGTGCATGCGGGCTGCTTGTGTGTGAGTCCAATGCATGCATACTTTGTCCGGCTGCTCGGCTTGTGGCACTGCTCAGCTTGTGATTTGTTGTGTGGTCACGCGCTGAGTGCTTACTGTGGGCGATAAACGTTATGTTTTGTTACACAACTGACGTGTATGGGTGTGTGTACAGTGATTGACTACATGCGAAAGGTAAATAAAAGATTAACAAGATGTGAGTTGTGGCATCTTTTTTCTTACAAAAAGAGCACTGAAAATACTTATTTCCAAACAGTTTCCACATTGTTTTACTGAACCAATTTGACATGATGCAAGTATAAACATGTGTTTTCCATTTAAATCAAGATATTTATCATCACTAAATACTATTAGCAGTCATTTAAAAAGAAAGAATAAGAAATTTTCAATTTTCAGTTAAACTTTAGGAGATACTGTACATGTAGCATAAAATTGCTGAAATGCAGCATAAACTTTTCTCTTGTAAAGTTTATTTTTACATTAGCATTTAGAAATAACATCCTTGCTTGTTTTTAATCCTTCAATTATACAAAATAAATATACATCACATTATATAATACATAGCAAAATACCAGTTAAAGTCATAATATGACAAAAGTGAGAATGCAAAATATCCCATAAATAGGTATAATGAAAAACAATATTTTAACCAAAACACTTTACACTTTGAGAAAGTTATTGAAGAGAGAAGTAGACATTTCATTCCTTTGATTTTTTGAGATATCCCAATTTGGACACGTATTTTTTTAAAAAAACAGGAACAGCAGGAGAACACCACTTAGAAATTACCAGTATCATAGTAAGATATTTGAGTAGTCCAGTTACACTTCTGTTGCTTTATGATCATAACCCATGCTTGTATTTTCAAGGTTCCCAACGAGGCATTTCGGGGGGGGGAGGCAATCTACTTTTGGGGACTTCTCTTGGTGCCCATCAGATGCCCTGGGTCCCAGATTGTTTCTATTAAAGGAAACTAATTTTACAAAGGTAAGCTAGCATACTAGAAAGCAAAGGGCCAGCTCCCCTCATTCTACGCTACATATAGCTTGTTCTTCTCCAACTTAAAAATCCAGCAAGGCGAGAAGAAAGGTATTGACCTCTCTATCCTATCACTACATGGATGTTCTCTTACCCTGGATTAAGACAGAAAGCTCTGTTCTACATGTCTGGCAAGGATGTTGAGTAAACTGGCATTGTTGGAACAGATGCTCTCTTTCCATTAACTGGGTTTCCATGCAGGTTGCTTAGGAGAATCACTTCTAATGTGAGAAAGGGAGCAAATTGCTTCTTGATGGAATGAATATTATTTTCCCCTCATCTCCAGCTCTCTCAGCTGGACTATTCTGTACTTCTTTCAGCAGCCAATTTAACCTCTGCATTTCAGAGAGAAAAAAGAGGCACATTACCATATTTCAGCTATTCTTTTGGCAGCCCACTAACTGAACTTGTGCCTTCTAATCGCCCATAACAAGTAGACCAAAAAGCAAGGCTAACAGAAATATTTAAGAGTTTCTTTGAGATGAAAATCCACATCAGTGAATCACATATCAATTATAATCCATAATGTATGTTGGAAATGCACAATGACTCCTGATATCAGTTGATTAATCATGCACTTTGTATTAACAGGAGACAAGAATGCTGTTTTGTGTAAAACATTCCATATTTAAATTAATTCAGCCACATGTAAAATAACCTGGTCTCTTCACAGGAAATTAATTTGAATATTGTTTGAATGTTAGATGAATCTGTCATTATTATGGTCTCCTGTGTTAAGGTTCTAAATTTAACCTCTTTAATATTTTCTTTCTCAATTTTGGAAAAAATGTTTGGGTAAGTTTTTATAAAAAAACAAATTGAGTGGAATTCTCATGTACACCTGTTCTGAGGTAGATACTATGAAACAAATTCAAGAGGCTCAAAAATAGTTTTTTAAATATTATGTTTAAAATATTTATTAACACTTTAATATTATGTATAAAATGAAAATAGGAATAAGAATAATATGTGAAAGGTGAAGTACTGGGTTTCACTCTAAGGACTAAATTGCTTAGCCACTGAGATAGTTGTTCTTAAACTTTTATTATATACATTCTTTCTATTCCATTCAAAATAAATACTGTTGGAAGGCCTTGCCTCATAGTAGTGAAATTCTTTGAACATTTCTCAAATTTGGATGGAATTATGGCAGTTGCAATCCAACAAATCTGGACAGCTAAAGGAAGTCTGCATCAGAACATCTGTAGATCGCCATATTGGAATATCTTGGGCACGTGACAAAAACACACAGAAGACAAGGGAAGAACTTGCAATGATGCAATCCTCCCTGGTTAAGTGCTTAATTTACAGGGAATGAATAACTGAGCCAAAAAAAACAAACACATTTTGATGGAGAGTGACCTGCTCAGTCAGATTTCAAAACATTGCTCTTGAGAAGAAATATGTATGCAAAAACAAAACACAGATTTATCTGAAAAAATGTACATTGAAAAGGTTTAGCCATTCCATATTTCAGTTATCACTCTCTGCAATCTTTCATGATAAGAATGCAAGTTAAACTGCACCTCACCTTGTATACCAAGCATTCCTGCAACCCTGTTGTTTTACTTTTTTTTTTAGTTGAATATAAACAAACTACTCCATGAACAGGAAATCTAAAAAGGATGGCCCCTCAAAACAGGAAGGCATGTTAATATCTTGAACCAAATTTGGCACAAATCTGCAGAGGCTGATTGCTCAATGCACAAAGAAATACAGAGATACTTTACAAAACACTGGAGTGGGGGGGATGTCTGAATCCTAGCTCCTAATAAAACTAAGTCTCCATTAGAGTGTTTCTCAACTTTAGCAACTTTAAGATGTGTGGAGTTCCCAGAATTCTGGGAGTTGGACTTCCACACTTCTTAAAGTTGTCAAGATTGGAAAACACTGCTCTTCTGAATGTTTGCACGGATCTATTATCTGAAGCCACCAAAGCAGAGACTGTAATGTCCCCCACCATCCCACCTTTTGGGCTGAGCAACATCAGCAACATTTATAGTTGCATTAAACTGCACCATTCCTTTATTTCAGCAGATATGCATGTGCAAGAGCCTTCCAAAATAGCATACCAATCATCCATAACTGTGCTTCCACAACTTAACGCTATAAGTAATCAGACATTTTACACTGAAAAAAATGAGTTCACCAGAGATATAACAGAGAAGTATCAGCATCAGATTCACTTAGCTCATTGGACAGAAAGAAGGGCGACCTATGATATCAGAATGAACTGACAAATTCTCTGGAAAGTCAGACTTGCATGATGGCCAGGAACCACACCTATTAGGAAACGGTCATAACCTTCAATTCTAGTGCTGGGGGCTTCTTAATTTTCTTTTCCTTCATTATTTGATGAGACAGTGTGTTTAAAAACCACTCCAAATCTTGATGGTCTTCTGGCCATCTCAGGTACTGCCCTCTTTGCAAAAAGATCCTGATTGGTTGATATTTCATAAGCTGATATTGAGAAAGAGATCCAGCTACCACCATTATAAGTATATCCTCCAGATCAGAGAGATACCTGCTCTGGGCAAAATTAAAGGCTTCCACACACCAGCCATCCTTGAGAAACTGTCTTGTGACCACACAAATTGTCTTCTTGCAATTCCAGACAGCATCATGAATATTACTGATATGATCCTCCCCAGGCAGGAAGTCTCTGTCTTCAAAGCAGAGAGCAAATCTGTTCTTCTTAGAATATTGAGTATCTAGATGCTTTATCAAGGAATTTTGGACCCATTCAAAGTCTTTGCTGCTATAGCAAAGATAAGCATCATATTTGTATCCTTGTTGATCCAGATCTGGTGGAAGCTCCTTCATGAGGAATTGTATGAGTGTTTTATACGAGAGGAAACAAACTCCCCTAAAACGAATAAAAACAACTACTGCTACTAGAAACACAATTATACTAACACAAGTAAAAATGAAGAGTGATAGCTGTAGAGGCTCCATGAGCTTGTCTTCATTGCAATTCTCTGTATTTAAGCCATGGAGAGGAATATTAGCAAATTCTGGCGGTCCAGAACAAAATATGTCATAGCGTGAGCCATCTAAAGTAACATTGGTTTGGTTTAGCCACATAATAAAGTCGCTTAATAGGCAGTTACAGTAAAATGTGTTATGGGTGATATCCAGCTGGTCTAATGTTGCAAAGATCTGAGGATCAGGGTAAAATAGCTGATTTGATGACAAATTAAGAGCTTTCAAGTTTGTAGGAAAGGAATCTTGAGAAATGGAAGTCAATAGGTTGTTAGACAAGTTAAGTGTCTTAAGTGACATTAGCTCACTAAATATACCCTCCGGGATGAAAGTAAGGTAATTGTTATTGAGATGGAGAACTTCCAAGCGGGAAAGGGCTTTGAACACATCCAAACATAAACCTCTCTCCCATATAAGCTTTAGCATGTTGTCTCCAAGGTCCAAGTAAAGCAACTGATTGTCTTTTGCTATGTCTTTGTATTTGAAGCAATAGGATAAACGATTGCTTTTTAAAACAAGATACTGCAGTGCTGGAAATTGGAGAAGTTCATAGAGATCACCCAGATTCCCCAATTTGTTTCCTTCTAAGTTAAGGAGTGTGGCATTTATAAATTGTATTTTCCAATATGGTGTAGTCTCTATCCGGTTGCCACCTAACATAACATTGAGGAGATTTGGGAGAGAATTGATTACTTTTAAAGCGTTATCCCGGAGATCCACGTGTTGAAGCCGTGGTAAGGATCTGAATGGATCTCTATCAATCACTCCAATGTGATTATGTTTTAGATCTATATCAATCAAATTAGGAAGTCCTTCAAAAGTGTCCTTAAAGAGCTCACCAAGCAGATTGTTTGATAGGTATAGATGTTGCAGATTCTGAAGACCAAGAAATGCTCCTGTCTCAATTTTATTTATTTTATTATTGTTAAGATTCAGCAGCTTCAAATCATGGAGATGCTGAAATACTTGTGGTTTAAGAGAAAAAATCCAGCCTTCTGATATATCAAGCAAGATGAGGCCACTGTCATTAAGACTTGCAAATGTATTAATATCAGGATCAGGAAGATTATTAAATCCAAATGATGCACCCATAGTATGAGAGGAAATCTTCAAAGCCAAAAGTGGGGATCCTCTAATAGCTGCACAGAATTGCCGCGTTACAGTTGTACCCCAGCCATTACTCCCAACATCCAGTGTTTCTATGCTAACATTTTTTAAAGGATTCCCACAAGTAGCCCAATTCATAGAACGTATATACAGTTTAGTATTATAAAGAATAAACAATTTGAACCTTGCTCCTCGAAAATTATTAAGATCCCCTTCACAGATAGATTCAATAGGGTTGAATCCCAAATCTAGAACATCCAAGGATTTCATCTTATAAAATATATTGTGAGGGCGAACACGAGTGATTGTATTATATCTGAGGTTCAGATATTCCAATGAAATCAAATCTCTGAGGTAATCCTCTTCCAGAATGGATTCATCAAGCCCATTTTCATATAGAAAAAGTTCACGTACTCTAAACAAGCCCACAAAAGCATCAGGGTCTAACACCATCATTTTGTTGCCATTCAAATCCAGTTGTCGGAGGTTTGGCAAATTCCTAAAAGCATCTTTCCCTATAGTTAAAGGAAAGTATTTTTGGCCCACAAGGAATAATTTTTTTAATTTCTCCCTCAGAGGGAATGAGGTTGCATTAACTTCTCGGATGAAATTAAAGTTTAGGGAAAGAATAACAACATGTTCAGGTACAGGTGGCACCCAAGTGAGATTGCAGAAATTATAGAAGGCTATCATGTTTTCCACTGAACAGCTTCGAATTGCGAATGTTTCTCTGCTCACAAGCACTGTTCCAAGCACAAATATCATGCAGTGACAAAACATCGTGCTCTCAATCTGTGCCTGGAGGAAAAAGATGGGGAAAAGAAAAGTATTATCATTTGCATTGGACCACAGAATCTGAATTAAACATAACAACACAGGTTATATAGAGAGATCAAAGCTCATCTAATATCTTTTAAAACATTGTTATTGCGAATTCATGAAAAAGGTTGCCATGTTAGTGGTGTTCCTGCTTGTTTTCCCTTGGATCTTGTTTATATCCCTTTTTATACAAAGTATGCCGCTTTGGAAAATGGGAAAATTCTGTATTTTCATTATAGCCTAAGAAGAACATTACTCAAAATGAAACTTGTCAACATAAGAGTTTTCCTATTTTCCACAGAAATAAAGTGCATTGCAGCTAACAGTCATGCTTTTCCTATCACTTTTAGAAAAGAAGGCAGAGAAAAGAGAAAGGACCTCAAACCATGAATGTGCCACTTTTCTGAGCTCAGAATTTCATTTCAGAATGAGATGCAGCAGTTATTCTCCCTACAAGTTTGATAGTTTTTCTGTTTCTGATGGACACAAAATTGCATAAAATGGTTGACTTTTCAAAGACTCTGGAGTTCTTTATTTATGACTTCCAGGAGTAACATTTAACTCTGCAAACAGAGTTGTGGACCTGTAGTTCAAGGTACAGTTGTTATTTGTTATGTCCCGACTTTCTGAGCAAGTAATGCCTAGGAGCAAATGTAACTCTAGGATGTCCTAACTATAAACCACTCTGGTTAATTTTCTAAGTTCTCATAAAAGCTACTCATCCAAGATAAATTAAATTGCATTTGGTTTAGGACAATTCACAAATACTTGTACCTATCTAAATCTTATTTAATTATTTGGTGGATAAAGAAGATAAATGATCTTCCATGTCGATACCACAGCAAGTCACAAAGCTAAACAAGTTTAGTAATTTAAAGAACCCCACTAGGAAATCTGAGGGCTAAAGAGTAATTCAGGAAGTTATAAAACATCCTAAAAGAAGGCAACAACAACCCACTTCTATGTTATTGCCACTTCTATCTTATGCATGGAGCCACTGGAAGTCAGATTTTACTTGAAGGAAATCTGGCATTTTTAAAAACTTTTGAGGGCACCTGCTTTTTTGTTTATTTTGTATTTGAATAACAGAATACCAGAGTTGGAAGGGATGAGGTCTTCTACTCCAAGCCCCTGCTCAACCCTATACTGTTTCAAACAAATGGCTGTCCATTCTCTTCTTAAAAACTTCCGGTGTTGGAGCACCCACAACTTCTGGAGGTAAGTCATTCTACTGATTAATTTGGTTCTTCCCTATCAAAACATAATTCCAAGACTCCAGGGAGATCTCTAAATTTCCCGGCTACCACCAACCCTTTCCCAATTTGGAAATAATTTTCTTTTCTCCTCTGTTTCTTTCTCTTTATGAGATGTCATTTGTTGAAATGTGGGAAAGGCACAATTAGAAATGTGGGAAAGGCACAATTTATCTACAACATTTGACAGTGAATCAAATGAACTGTTAGATCATTTGAAAACAGAATTATTAATACAAACACTTAAAAGTACAATTTAGGATACCTTCAGTACTTTTCCCTCTGGAATTAACTGGGAGAGGGTTCCCAGTGACAGTTCTGATAACCAAGTCATCACAGAGCCTTTATCATATATAATAATCATATATGATTATATCTTGCACACTCTCAGTCTCTGATACAAATGAAAAGTGCTTTGAGACTTTCAGGTAATATTTTGGCTGATAGTTAACATCCCATCCAAATCTGCCTCCTCCAGCTCAGCTCGCATTTGCACATCCTAAGCCTCTTAACCGACTTTGGCTCTTTCTGCGTGCCCTCTATTTCCTTATGCAAGTCAGACAAAGACTGGAAATTCATGATACCAATGATCAAGTTGAAGTCTCATCCATGAGATTTACCTCTGTATGCAGGAAGAGACTTCAGCTCACTAGTTCTTAGCAGATAAGATGAGAGAATGACTGTCTGGGATGCCAGACTGTGAAGTGGGTGTTTCTCATGACCTCTATCCCCATTCTCCAGGGTTGTTCTTAACAAAGCTTTGCCACCAGAAATGCAGTTCAAGATTCCTGATCCCCAATGAACGTGGAAGGTACATGGGATTTGAACGACTTCTTAAAATGCCTCAAAGATTACAGCACTGAAAAAATGAGTCTCTCCTCCTCCAACAAAACCCTCTTATGAAAAGAGGAAGATTTATTTTCTGCTCAGCATGCCTAACTGACAGCTTTGTAGAAGAACTCAACAGATATCCATGTTACTAGCTTAATGCCCCACAGAAGGAAATTGAGCAATCTGCAAATGGAGATGAGAGGCATACCAAAGCCAGTTACTTCTGTTTGTCCAAAGTCATTAACCTTTGCTTAAGCAACAAGAGCATTAGTTCAATGTGCCCGCTTTGCTGATAGTGTTGTAATTCAAATCAGAATGACAGAAGAATGACTGAGACCTACATTATATGCAGATCTAAGTAATTAAGAATTAAACAGCACATTTTGAATCAAGCAGTGAGGTCATGCTATGTAACATCTGTGAGTTTCACTTTTTTCCACAAAGAGTTGCTTTCCCAGTTTCACGTTTCTTCCATCGTGGTGATGAAAAAATTTGCCCCAGCAAATTATACCCCTCAATAATATAATATACCCCTCAATTCATAATAATGCTAATCTCGCCAGACTTTTTTCTATTGAAATCACTCCTTTCCCCTTTTAGATTTGAAACAGGAACCACCCTTTAACACATATATCTGGGAACCTGCAAAGGGGAGAAAACATTCAAGAAGAACATGAACAGGGAAAGGCTTAAGCCACGTGTGTTGCTTAAAAACCATAACCTGATAAGCTGATTTTCTAATAAAATAAAAGTGTCATTTGTATGTGGTGTGCCTCAGGCTTACATTATATTAATCTTTTCTGGTAAGAAAGTGGTAATAAGAATTATCACTAAAGCTGCTCAAATTTGATAATAAAAAAGGAGGAACATAGTCTGCTTTCTCTCATATCCAAACATATGAGAAGAAAATAATTTCTGTCTGAAAGCTTATGCTTTAAAAAAAAAGATGAGGATGAAATAAGAAAGGCTTCACACCCCATGCTAAGTCTGCTCTACAGGAAGATCCATGGAATGCATAGTTTTTCTCATGACTCCATGTCAGGCCAGTAATTTATAATAACCAGGACTGAAATCTAGTAAATGTGTTAATACTTCTTGTGATGAAGATGGTAAGTCATTTCTTTATATATTTCTTTTTTCTTTCCTATATTCTTTTCTTTATTTTCTATTTTTATTTTTTCCTTTCTTTTCTGTATTATTATCTATAATCAATCACCTATCTATCTATCTATCTATCTATCTATCTATCTATCTATCTATCTATCTATCTATCTATCTTATCTATCTTATCTATCTCATCTCTCTCTACCATCTATATCAGGGGTGTCAAACTCAATTTCATTGAGGGCTGCATCAGCACTGTGGTTGCCCTGACGGGGCCGGGTGGCTGTGGCCAGAGTGGGTGCAGCCTACTGGGTGGGCGTGGATGGAGTGGGTGTGGCTACTAGGTGGGCGTGACCAGTTCTACAACATTCGCATCAATGGTGCCTATGGGGGCCTAGGCAGGAGTGGGACAGATCTGAGGGTCTCTGGCAAAAGGGGGTGGGACTGGGGCAAGTGCCAAGGCATGGTCCACCGGGGCAAGTGCCAAGATGGCCACCACAAAATTGTACATTGGCTCCCGGCTGGCCTGGGCCAGGGCCAAGACAGCGGGGGCTGTTCCCTCACTGTTTCCAGGATGGCTTCGCGGGCCACATGAAACCACTTTGTGGGCTGCATCCGGCCCCCGGGCCTTGTGTTTAACATGTCTGATCTATATCTATCATCTATCTACCATCTATATTCCACCTTTATTATTTTTACGTATAACTCATGGCAGCGAACATATCCGACACATCTGACACATCTTCCTCCTCCTATTTTCCCCACCAGAACAGCCTTTTGAGGTGAGCTGGGCTAAGACAAACTGACAGACTCTACCTTTCTAGCCTGCTGCCTTCCCCACTAGACCAAATTGGTTATTCTTTCATCTTTTAAAAATGTGTATTATTTTTTACCATTGTAATAATAATCCTTCATAAAATAACTATTATAAAAAGAAAATGGGAATATATTTTTGAGAAAGAGTGTTCAATATAGGTCAACTATGATAAAAATCACTCTTTTACATAGAGTAATGCTAGCAAACTCTTCCCAGCTGTCTTAAGGCAATGGAAGTCAAAATCAAGCAAATACTGATCAGGGAGTTAATACAAAAGTTGCAAAATGGAAAAGCAAAGTCAGTCAACAGTTCTTTTTAATTCCTTTCAAAGTTGGCAGATGATTCATAAACTGCCTCTGAATTGCTTCTTGCTCACAAGGTTGCTTTGATAATCTCAGAGACGAACAGGCAGCCATTCAGAAGGACCAACAACTGGGAGTCAAAGGATTGTTTGAGATACTGTCAAACAGTCAAAAATGTCAACCACACATCAGAGGGAAAGTGGCAAATAAAAGAAGATGGACTTGCAGTGGGATTATTGTTATAATGTACCAGAAAAAAGTTGAGACCTTTGTTCTAACAGTGGTTACTAGCTTAGAATTTCAGCAGAGCTTTTCTTTGAAGTGGTTACTAGTGGTGCAAGACTATAAATTGTGGAGAAATATCTGTTGACCTTTTTATACTCTTTGTCAAACCAGCTTTTGGTGCTGTATCTTTGGTATGGTAACTACAGTATTTTTTTTTTATCGGTTAGAAACTTCTGCAGCCTCAGAATGACTATGCCATAATAGTTCGCGATGTGGTTTCCTGAATCAGACATGGAACAGAATGGTGATTATTTGGAATAGATAAATTTTTTTGCAGGAGCTTGGTTCATGTGCTTCTTCTTGATGAGGCAAGCCCAGAGATGGCCTAAGTACAAACAGATCTAGATGGGAAGCTTAAAATTTAAATTTAAGGCCAGTAGCACATGATCATTATTTGGATGGGAGGCAAACATTGTTTATTAGACCAAATTTTGATAATTTTCACCCAGAGCAGAAGAAAAGTCTCCTAGATTATCACTGTCCACTGTTTTGCTTACAATAAATAATTTCAATGAATTAGTCATTTGTGCCGGTTTAAACTTTACCAAATTACATTTAACATTCTTGGACAGGCATGTTCTCAATGACTAAATGATAGCTTTGACATTTTGCAAGAAAGGCCTTATAATTTGATCCCTCTCTAGATTTGAATTTCCCCAAACAATACTCATTAGCAAATGGGCAATTAAATGAGCCCATTTAATTTATTTATATTAAATAAAGTCACACCATTTTCCAAAGTAATATCATTATGTCATATAATTTAGCACAGTGTTTCTCAACCTTGATAATTTTAAGGCATGTGGACTTCAACTCCCAGAATTCCACATTCTGGGAGTTGAAGTCCACATGCCTTAAAATTGTCAAGGTTGAGAAATACTGCAGTTATACAGAGTTAAATACATCTGACGAAGAAAGAATATATTAGATATAGAACAATGTGTTTTAGGATTATAGCAAACAGTCTTATTTCTGAAGACCTATTCAATGTACAGTCCTGAAATTTAATCAGAAAGATCCACCAAAAGCTTAATTAATCCTGACAAACTTCTCCAAGTGGGAGTTATAGTCCCAATGTTTCTGGAGGGTATCACAATGAGGAAAATTGAAAAAGAAGCTCATCTTGCTTCATTTAAGAGAGACTCAGGGGCTATAAAAGTTGACAATAATCCTTACTAACTTTATTTATCTGTAAATAATTTGACATTGCAAACAGCCATTCCTCCCATTTCTAGACAGGAGACCATCAGAAAACTTGATTGAATTCTGCTATGAATCAAACTCTTCTGAATTAAAGCAGATATTTCAGCCCAAGGAACTCAGGTCCTAGCAATTATTTTCCTTTTGTCTTATTAGGAACAAAGAGATTGGGTTACAACAGCCTCACAGCTCACAACATTCTGCTGTAGACAACTGCTATTTGTGGTTCTTCCTTTATCCCCACTGTTTGCTCCTTTTTGAGGTTTTAATTATAGGGCTCTTAATTTGACTTATGATTATATGTTTATTCCACTTTCTTCCAAAAAGCTTAAGAAGACCTGTAATATCTCTTTAGTCCGTTTTATTACTAGGTAAACCTGTAAAATAAATGAAGTTCAAGGATAGTCACTGACCCACAGTGAGCTTCATGGGTGATCAAAATCTCGGACTTCCTGGTTCAAACCCAATCTTTCTATATCATTTTGGCTTTCAGGACATAGGATTCCTGAACTATTTTTAAAATTATTTGTGTGTTTGTATAAACATGTATACTATCTTTCTCTCTCTCACACACATATATGCCTTTGATTCAGTCTTAACTCCTGGCAATTGCCTAGACAGGTGCTGCAGTTTGCAATTTTCTTGGCAAGAGTTTTGCAGGTAATTTGCCAGTGCCTCTTTCCTAGGGCTGAAGGAGAGTGAATGGCCCAGGGTCACCCAGCTGGCTTTGTGCCTAAGGCAGGACTAGAATTCACCCTCTTCTGACAGGAAGTCAGCTAGTAAGAGAAACAGAATGGCCCCAATCACCCCACTCCATATTACTTATTTTCAGAGCATACTGATAATTACCACTGAGGTGTATGTAATGGAACAGAAAAATTCCTGGTTTAATCTAGGAGGAATTTCAAGCAGTTTCCTTTTTTTAAAAAAAAAACTTTCATTGATTCTTATCCACTTGTGAGAGAGGAAAAAAAATCTCCAAACCTCAGGAAATGAGATGTTTTCAGGAAGAATGCTGAGCGGCTAGGACAGAAAAGAGACAATCCTGGTTGTACCCATCACATAGTGACTTCCCTGTAGCATCTCTGCCAGTTTGGTGCTAGGCTTTAATATTACCCACCTAAGGGGGAAAAAAAAAAAGAGACAAGGTTCATTGTTAACGTACAAAAAACACAAAAAAAGAACATCCTTTGGAATCTATGGTTTGAAGTGCTTCCCAATAAAGCAGATTCCCAATAAATCTGGATTTTTTTTTAAATCTGCAGTTCACAAAATTAATTACTTTTAAAAGAAGGGTTTTTTAAATTTGTAAGTGAGCTATACTACTTCTTCCATGTCTTTGCCAGTAAAACATGTACTCTTAATAATCTGGATGCCAAGAAAAATGTCTTTTGCTTTAAAGACAGCTCTCATCTTCTTATTGATATTCAGAAAATATTGGAAAAGACCTCCACTTAATGTTGTTACCAGTCTTATGTTTCCTTTACAGACAGCTATATTTGTGTGATGTTTGGCTTTTACTAAGAACTATAGACGTGCATGAAGATCAGGTCAAGAAGAAGAGCAATTTATGAAAAAACATTTAGAGTTAACTCTGTGGTGGCAAAGCAAAGAAATCTGCCAAGAGATGTGGTTATTTATTTTGGGAAAGATCCCTGCGCAATGAAATTATACAAGCTTTTTACAATAAGAGATTTCAGATTGCTTCACAAGATGTTATAATTTTAAAGGAGATCCCATCTAAAATTTTAAGAAGAAGAAAGGAGTTTGCTTTTTTAGCAGATGAACTTAAAAAGAGGCGAATGTTGTTCAGATGGGACATCCCGACTGGAATGGTGGTGAATCATCTGGGGACATGTTATAGACTTAATACTGTTTTCAAAGCAAAAGAGTTTTACACTTCGGTCCTGGGGGTATGTTCATCACCACTTATCATGTCTAAAGCTTTGGAAGAGAAGAAGGTAGAATCGCAGTCTGAAGAGCCTATATTGATGAAAATTGGGAAATTTCAGACTGAGGGGCCTCAACAAGTTGAGATGAAGGAGCAGAGGATAACCTGTGTAACATATAAACGCAAAGAAAAGGAGCAACAGAAGAAGAGGTTAAGGAAGTCTCACAAGTATTTGTTTCCAAGTCAGCGGGAGAAGCAATATCTACAAACTTTTTGGAGCAACCTTTAAGGGCAGATTTCCAAGCACTTCTCTCGAGGTTCTTGGATAAGGGAGATTGATTAAGAATGTATAGATTGTTTTTAGGTTATTGATAGATTACACTTTGCTGTGGATGGAATTGGTTATTGGTAAAGAGGAGAGAAGATTATGGTGATTGAATGAAAATTTTAGATAAGAAGTTTAACTTTAGTAATTTAAGTAGTATTTAAAAGTATTTTGTTTTAATGGTATAACTAACGTTTATATGTTTATTTTTGTGTTTGATGATAAAAAAGAGGGATAGATTAGATTTTATATAATATAAGTATGATATTATGGAGATTGAATGAAAATAATGTTATAAGTAATGTTTATAGGTGTGTTTTTGAGGGTTTTTATAAAGAATGATGGATAAATTTTAAATAATATAAGTATGACATTAGAAAATGTTTAGTTTTTTTTTCTGAATAATTTACAAAGAGGAGAGAAGATTATGGAGATTGAATGAAAATTCTAGATAAGAAGTTTAAGTTTAATAATTTAAGGAGTACTTAAAAGAATATTCTGTTTTAATGGTATAATTAATGTTTATATGTGTATTTTTGAGTTTGATGATAAAGAAAGAGGGATAGATTTTATATAATATAAGTATGATATTATGGAGATTGAATGAAAATTCTAGATAGGTAGTGTATGTTTAGATACTAGATAGTGTTTAGTTTTTTGAATAATTTATATTGTTTATAATATTTTAAGGGTGGTTTAATTTTCTTATAAAATTTTCTTTTTCTTTTTTATTTTTATTTTTATTTTTCTTCAGTTTTATATTGGTGTTTGAGTATTTTATAATTTGTTTAATGATTGTAATCAAAATTTTTTATTTATTTATTTATTTATTTATTGCTTTTTATATATTGGTTTTAAAGTATTTTATAATTTGTTTAATTATTGTAATTAATTGCTTATGGTTTATATCTGTTTAAAATTTTTTCCTTTAAGTTTTAACTAAGCCTGTATTCAGCTTTGGGAAGGTTGGGGGAGGGTTGGGCTGGGTTGGGAGGGTTTGGGGAGGGGAATTTTTTTTCTGTAAAATTTCAAAAAAACTTTCAATAATGCATAGGACTTGAAAAAAAAAGAAGAGCAATTTGGGCAGCTACTCAACTTATACATTTCATTTTACCAAGGATCGGATTTAGTTTTGTCAAAGAAAAATAGAAATGGGAAGGAAGGAAGGGAGGGAGGGAGGGAAGAGGAAGGAAGGAAGATTAGTATCTGAGAAGGCAAAAAGCTGGATATCTACTGTATAATAAACACAAATTATTCATAGAAATCTGGCAACTCTACAAACCATTTTAAATTTAGGACTACAATGCAATTTAAGAAATCTTAAACTATGTCACATATGTATATTTGTAAGATATTGAACTAATTTTTGCATATGATAAAGCTATAGTTTTTTCTGAAGTAAAAGGCAATGTTTATTTTTAGACATAGACTGGTAGCTTTATAAAATAGTCACTGCCTGTCTACTGCAGCCTTATAAGAAAGTAAGGCCACACTTGGAATATGGCATCCAGTTTTGGTCACCACGATGTAAAAAAGATATTGAGACTCTAGAAAGAGTACAGAGAAGAGCAACAAAGATGATTAGAGGTTTGGAGGCTAAAACATATAAGGAACGGTTGCTGGAATTGGGTATGTCTAGTTTATTGAAGAGAAGGATGAGGGGGATATGATAGCAATGTTCCAATATCTCAGGGGCTGCCACAAAGAGGGAGTCAAGCTATTCTCCAAAGCACCTGAAGGCAGGACAAGAAGCAACGGATAGGAACTAATCAAGGAGAGAAGCAATCTAGAACTAAGTAGAAACTTCCTGACAGTTAGAACAATTAACCAGTGGAACAACCTGCCTCCAGAAGTGGTAAATGCTCCAACACTGGAAGTTCTTAAGAAGAAACTGGATAGCCATTTGTCTGAAATGGTATAGGGTTTCCTGCCTGAGCAGGGGGTTGGACTAGATGACCTCCAAGGTCTATTATTATTATTATTATTATTATTATTATTATTATTATTATTATTATTATTATAAAAATATTATTTTTTTAAAGTGTTCCACACAATGAATCAGAATACATTCAAATTTTCTGAAATATTTATCATAGCTCTTCTACAAAGACATGCAAAGATAAGGATTTCGCAATAAAAACACTGCTTTAGCAAGAACTCTAAGGCTCACTGTATTTGTGACAACCAGAGCTGGTTATTTTTTTGGGGGGGGGAAGGGGGGGTAGGCAGCAATTTTGTAATAAGCACCACCACCACCCCAAACAAATTCTGAGAATTTCATGCTTCATTTTTATGATTAGTTTTCAAAGTTGAGATGAAATGCTTGAAAATGTATTAAAAATCCTTTGGATGAAATTTTTAAACCTCTCCATGTCTTCATAACTGACAGATACAGAAATAACTCTGAAAAAGGAAAAATTGTGCAAGCCTGCATATACTTGTAGAAATTAGAAAATGGGGGGGGGGGTTGGTACAGAATTTAGTCCAGGGTATAGACAATGCAAATAACACACCACACTATACAGAGATCAGGAGGTAAAGTCTAACGTTATGCAAACAGAAAGTACCAAACAAAGTGCAAAATAATTTGTATCTAGTTCAAATAAAAACTGTATTTTGCACATTGATAAGCTATTACATGTCTGTCTCAGGCTCTCAAAACAGAAATCATTCTGAATCCAGAACTAGTTAAAGGGGAGAATATGATTAATAAGAGTCCAAATGATAATTGATTTGCCACTTTTGAAAAAGGTTTTCTTTTCTTCCCTCCCCCTGGTTATGTATAATGATAATGGGAGACTGGGGTCTTCTTGTTTCAATGTTCCCAGTTCTAAGTAACAGCCATATCTGAACATTTCCTTTTTATAAAAAAGTTGAATAATTGATTATGTACAATCTAATCAATATTGGCAATTTCTGACAACTGTAGTCCCAATATACATGGAAGTTGTTATGCAGGCATTCTAATAACTAACCAGAGGAAATTCCCTTCCTGACCTCCCTGATAAGGTCGCAAGTATATTACAATATAAAAGCATCAGCCCTGACATTCACAGCCACTGGAGATAAGAGGCTGACATGTGTGATGCTCTTTCCTTTAGGGCAAAACCTATACAGCTCAGAAGCAAGAGGTTCAAAACTAGATTGGGGCTTAAAACTGCTAAAATAGCAATAGCAATAGCACTTAGACTTATATACCACTTCGTAGTGCTTTACAGCACTATCTGAGTGATTTACTAATGTCAAATATTGCTCCTAACAATCTGGGTCCTTATTTTATCAACCTCGGAAGGATCAAAAGCTGAGTCAATCTTGACCCGATCAGGATTGAACTCCTGGCTATGGGCAGTTTGCCTGCAATACTGCATTCTAACCACTGCGCCACCACAACTCTTATGGACATGCATGTAAGGATGTCTGTTTCCAGTTTCTACCAGGCAGAAATGTCTACAGTATATATGTGTCAATATATTTAACCAAGTAAAGACAGACACTGCATTCAAAGCCCCACACTCATTGTTCCTCTCTCCCTCATAAAAAGGACTTGACCATATGGTCATGATGACCATCTTGAGGTTTTTTACACGCCCCTTGCCCCCTGGATGGGATGCTCCTTTTACCAGGATGTTATTACTTTCTTATGTATGAGAAACAGCAGCTTGAAGATAAAACAAAAAATAAATTGTGAAAGATTGAAGAGAAACCAGATGGCAGGAGGGTCTTAACAAAGTCAGATGAAATGGCTCGCTTGAAGATAGGAGAGCACAATGACCGTTGCAGCATCTCCATGGTCATGTGATCAGAAATCAGATGCTTGGCAACTGACTCATATTTATGACATGTCCCAGGGTCATATGATCACCTTTTGTAACCTTCTGACAAGTAAAGTCAATGGGGAAGCCAG